GTGCTTAAAAAAACCCCAACAACAACAAGAAGCAGAGCTCAGCATGAAGAAGGCATCTCTGGCAGAAGAGCACAGAGCTGGTGTGTTCACAGGGCAGCCAAACCATGTCCCCCCAGTGCAGCCCTGGGCAGGTGGCAGCCAGGGGAGCTTGTGTCGCCCCGTCCTGCTGCTCCAAGTGCACAGGAAACACATCGTGTCCCACAAGTGGTACCTGCCTGGTGGTGTTGGAGGTGGTGGTGAGCTGCTGATCCTCATGGAAACACTTCCTGTGACATTATAGCCAAGAAAGAAGGGTTGTTTCCCATCCCACACTCAGCGAGATGTCGGACGCAGCTCGATCCAAACACCGGGTGTCAAGAGATGAGAGGATGTGGTGACAAACCCCACTGCTCAGCAGCACCACAGAGCAGATCTGCAGCTACAAGAGCAGGGGCCACACTTAACCTGTTTTCTGTAGCTATTGCCCAAGTGTTAGGAAGTGCTGGAGAGCCTGGAAAGCTCAGCAAAGCATTCCCACAGAGCAGAAGTGCCTGCGTTCAGGCCGTGCCCAAACACCTGAGCTTGGGTAAATCATTTAACTGGTTCTGTGCCTCAGTTTTCCCCAGCAGCAATAACAAGCCAGCTCACACAGGCCCTGGGAGCCAGTTAATTACTTCAGTGGCTGGTCCTGCACCAGCACTGGGCTGGGCATTAGTAACGTGTGAAGCTCTTTGAGGTCTGTCAGCATAATCTTATTTCAAAATCAGTTTTCCCTTTCAAAGCAGATCCCTCCAACAATTGCAGTGCTGACCTGCATCCCCCTGCCCCCCAGAATCCCCAGGAGAGGGGGATCCCCAGGGAAAGAAATCTTCCTTGGAGCTTTAGGCTGTGAAACCTACAGCAGAGCTCACCTCTGCACCAGGAGCTGAGCATCAGCAGCACCAGCCAAGGCTGGACTAGATGCAACAGGATGAATCTCAACCAAGCAGCCCTCCCATGGGAAAAAAAACCCAACAAACCCAAACCAATTCTTGGGAGCACCTGGCAGCTAAAGGAAAGAGCAAAAAA